TTTATCTTTCCCTGGTTTTGCTATTGGTACTATAATTGATTCTTTCCATTCCATTGGTAATTTCCCCTCCTCCCAAATTTTATTATAAAATTCCAATATTATCCCTTTAGATTTTTCACTGAGCTGACTTATCATTCTATACCATATTTTATCTTTCCCTGGTGCTGTATTTTTAAGTTTTGTAAATGTAGAGTTCAATTCAGCTTTTGTGAATTCAACATTTAACAAATTATTTGCTTCTTCTTCATTCTGCAACACATCTTTATATTTGAGTTTTGTATTTTCTCTTCCTTTTCTACCCTCCTCACTAATATTGTCAGAACTGTGGATTTTACTGAATGTTCTTGCCAATATTTCTACTTTATCATCGTCTTTAACTATACTTATATTATCTACTTTTAATATAGGATATTCGAATTCTCTTTTAATGCCATTCATTCTTCTGTGAAGCTGGACTCATGGAAGAGTTTCGATTTTACCTCTTTGGCTGCAGTCAGGTTGTTTATGTGCTGCCCCCTGATGGCAATACCAGGAACCGCAAGGCTGACCTTTGAATTAATATATATTTTTTAAATAACAGTATTCTAACCAATATATTTACCTACTTTACTTTATATTCAAAATATAATAGTCACACATCCTCTATTTTTTATCTAATATAATTACTTTTTATTATTAACAATATTTTGAATTGTTTTATTTTATTCTTTTTTTTTTATTTAATACTAAACTAACCTTTGCTACCAGACTAAATAATTTTTTTCCCAGTTTTATTTTTTTGTTTGTTTTTTTACTTATATGGCTAGTGTTAATCCCTATCTATCATTGTGATACTGGTAAGTATTTTGAGCTCTTGGGGGGAAAAAATGCAAAAAAGTATTTCATAATTTTGTGAGAAATTTGCCTTTTTAATTCCCATCCAGACAGATTGGCAAGATGCGTAAAAAGATTTCATATAAACATACCTTGCACCTAACATTTAACAAAAAAAAAAACTCAACCTTGAACCTCTGATTTGTGTAAATTAATCAATTGGGGGGAAATCATGCAAAAACCATCGGTGGGACAAAAAGGAAACCATATTTTGCTGATATGAAAGCATTTCCTTTTTTTAATGAGATTTCATGTTGAAACAAACAGAGGATTGGATCATTTCTTTGAGCATCAGAAGTGAAAAAGGTCCTCCATAATAATTCTCTCACATGCAGAAGAAGTTAAACATTATGGCATAACGTATAGCAGAATTTGACACTAATAAAAATGTTTTTTCTTAGTGTTTATACATCTGGGATAAGCTATTTAGATTTTAAATTTTATTTACATATATTTTTATGTCTAGGAAAAACATTACAGCACAGAAAATACTATACACTCATAAAATTCTCATCTATTATTTAGAAAGTTTAAATTCTTCTCAAAACTCACTGGAAAACATTAGAAACCTCATTGATCTTGATTGAAATGCATCACAGACCCTGGATCTCCAAAGCTGAGCAGATAAACAGAAGCAGATATTCTTTGCCCTGACAAAGAATCTTTAGTTTAGATATTTCACCAACTGTTGGATATGATAGTATGAGGAAAGCACATCCTCAATCAAGACTCTGGTTTTCACTCATTCATTTACCTCCAGAAATGATGAAGTACAGCATCAGGATGAATAATAAAAACTACTTTGCTCATTGGCCAATGCTGCTTTAAATGTCTATCATTCACCTGCTGTAGCTATGCAGTGTTACACACCATTAAACATTTTTTGAAGCTGGAAGACACTTGATTATGTGCATATGCCGCAGATTAGATCCCAATTTTGTAAACATGGGAATAAAAAAAAGAGCTTTCATGAGTCGAGATTTGATGGACAGGTAGTTTCTGATAAAGATAAAGGCGGCGCAGAGGATTATTGGTCGCCCTCTCCCCTCCCTGACAGACATTTACTCCACCCGGTGCCTCAGCAGAGCCAGGGCCATCTCCAAGGACAGCTCCCACCCTGGCTCCACCCTGTTTGACCTGTTGCCCTCTGGAAGGCGCTACAGGCAAATGAGGATCGGGACAAACAGACTCAAGAACAGTTTCTTCCCCCAAGCCATTGCCGCCCTCAACTCCGACCTGCACTGTCGGTCACTTTACACCTGTTTTACACTATTCCCCCCCCCCCACAATCTGTGCCAGTACTGTTTACATTTCCTTTTCCTTTTAATATATTTATATTTTTTTATTTTTCATTTTCTATTTTATTTATTTTACGGTAGCTGATATAGAAGTCCCAAAAATCTCATTGTATCCGTTGCAGAATATGATGACAATAAAGGCTTTTTGACTTTCATTCTAGTTTCAAAAGTGGTTTATTAGAAAAAAATATATATATATATGTATATATATATATATATATATGATTCAGCTGTAGTATCAAGGTGTTAATTTATTGTATCTCTTATACTATATCCATTGGTTGTGCTGCTCTTTTTACGTCTCTTTGCAGGTGATGACGTTTTATTGTTATCTCCCTTTTATCTCCTCTTTCTTTCATCTTTTCTCCTTTTTTTTGCTTTTCTTTTCCTGTTCTACTTACATTGCAGTGTCCATATAATCTGTAAAACTACCTGCATGCATTATAATAAAGCAATTTATATGCATAAATGAAGCAGAACACTATGGCGATAGTCGTACTGCTCCACTTGTGAAAGTAAAATCTGTTGGGCCCCTTTTGGCATCAAGACAGTAATTCTTCCTGCCACATTGCCAGACAGGACACTGCTTAAAAAAACAAACAGAAAAAAAAAATATATATATATATATATTTAACAATTCTCCAAGATCAGCAAATTAAAAGTTAAAAACTGACGGCGCAGAAGTTTAAAGTTTGATGCTTTTTATTTAGAAATTCAAAATATGCACCAGTCCTCTTTGGCACAAAGTCAGAGAAAGCCATCTCGTATCTATTTTTATTCTTTAAGTAGTGCCACATTTACCGTAATCTCTAAACTTGCAAACATTTCAACAACCCTTGAAGCCTTGAGCTGAGGAGAACAGGAGCAAACACTGTATATAAATACTGAGCTTTCAAAGAAACGCCTTGATTAGCCTACCGTAGGTGACTCCAGAGGGTCGGGGTTGAGCTTTAAAATAAAAGTGAACCTTCAGCATCACAATTTCATGCACAAACGCTCGATCATGTTATGACAAAAGGAAAAAAAAATGAAACACATGTAAACAAAACACTGCTACTCAGCAGAGATTACATGAAATGTATGAGACGCTGCTTCCTTCCAGCTTTGCTTACAATCTTATTTTGCCCTAAATTAATGACTGATTCCGAACACGGGACACATTAAATTGACTCAATTTTCTTCTACAAAGGAATACTTAAAAAGAAAAGGGAAAAAAAATAAGTTTAACGGATTTTATGATTTTAATTGAAAACTTAATTTTTTAATTAGAATTTTTTTAGTGAGAAAAATAAGAATTAGAAAATAAAATATGATCAAGTGCCGACTTAATTCAATCTGAGTCACTCTTTTCAATAAATGTGCCAAGTGAGGGACGATTGCACTTTGCAGGGTGTATTTGCAGCTCCATCATGCATGGAGGCGGCCGTCCGATACATCAGCTAATAATTTGAAGAGGATCTCCAGGACAGCCTGGGGCTCCGGTTCAGATCATGCTCGGGGCGGCGCTGTACAGGATGACGTCTCCAGTGACCCGCAGCAGGGTCACCTCTTCCAGACCGCCCACTCTGTGCTCATATTCCAGCAGGTGGGTGCCGTCCACAGCCACTTTGAACATGTCCTCTTCAACTAGGATCTTCAACTGAAAGAGCAGCAAGAGAAATATGAAGGGTTACTTCATTTAATCTGCATTTTCATCCCAAATTTATATATATATATATTTTTAAAAAAAGGTATTCCAACTAGGGCTGGGTGATATGTATGAAGGACCAACTCTGCCATATTTAAAAATAAATACAGAAATAAATAAATGCTCAATAAATGTATAAGCATACAATTAATTGCCAACAAAAAATGGAGACATAAATGTACATAACTCTTAATTAGCTTCTTTATTTATTTGCCTTTGTAATATTTACCTTATTTATTTTTCTGTCCTTTATAATCTTCAACTTTATTTTTTAATTACTTATATTTTTAAGTATTTATTTATGTGCATGTTAGAGTCTGATGTCGAGTCTGAAGTCATTAGAACTTTAGTATGGACTTTGCCAAACACAACAAAAAATCGCCATCATAGCCTGGCTATAGACCTGGCTGCCGTCAGCTTCGGAGCTCCGCTGGCTGCCACGGTCCTCTCAAGTTCGTCACATTTTCTTTTAAATTGCGCATTAAATCTGTGAATGGGCCATATGGTGATGCTTAAAAGTATAAGGTTCTCGCCTCAAATGATCTTAAAACGTACTTTTATTGAACAACAGCAACAGAAAAGAGAACATTTAACTTAGTACTCTGAGCTCTGTGAGTTAAGAAGATGGAACGCCAAGCCAACCAATGAGCAGAAGTTGACTCTCTAGGACACACCCCCTCCTCATTTGCATAATGACATAGAAATGCATAGAGAAATGTAAAAAGGGCAGACAGAAATGTAAAAAGGCAGAGAGAAATAAACAGCAGCGAAGAAATAACTAAGGTAAAAAAATACAAAGGAAGAATAAAACAGACAAAAATATTATAACATGCACATAAATAAATACTTAAAAATATAAGTAATTAAAAAATTAAGTTGAAGATTATAAAGGACAGAAAAATAAATAAGGTAAATATTACAAAGGCAAATAAATAAAGAAGCTAATTAAGAGTTATATACATTTATGTCTCACTTTTTTGTTGGCAATTAATTGTATGCTTATACATTTATTGAGCATTTATTTATTTCTGTATTTATTTTTAAATATGGCAGAGTTGGTCCTTCATAGATATGAAGAAAATCTAATAACATATATTTTGGCTATATCAATATATATAAAGATATGTTTAAATTAATTTAAAAAACAATAGAGTGCATAAAATTGCTGTGATATACTCAATCTAACTTATGGTTTCAAATTTAAAACATTTTATTTTAACCAGCTCAAAGCTTTTCACTAATAATTCTCACTCATTATGTCTTTTGGTGTCAGTATTAGACCTTTAACATGATTCTAGCAACCAAAAAGGAAACAAAGCAAATAAAATGCTAAATAAACAAGCCCTCTTTTGTGAATAATTAAAAAAAGCGGAATGATAAAAGAAAGTGATCTCAAGAAAAAAAAAAAAAAAGTCGAACTACTGTTAAAAAAATATGAGCATTATCGGAGCATTTCGAAACTATTTGCATTGATCTTTACGTGGTGGAAATTTTGAAGAAGCAGAAAAAGTTGTAAAATTGAGAACATTGCTAACTTTAGAAAAGTTCTGCAAAACCGTCTGAACAAGGCCACATCACAGGTATTAGAGCAGGGGTCACCAACCTTTTTAAGGCTGAGAACTACTTCATGGCTACTAAGCCATAAGAAGGGCTACTAATGCTGGCCTATAAACTTTTAATTTATCATTTTCTTCTAGATAATGTAATTTTTAATCTGTATTATTGTCTAAATGCTCTATAAACTATTAAAAAAGAAGAGCAACATTGTCAAATTAAATTTCAATGTGAGATATTGTTTTCAGAGGACGCTGAGGGCCCCCATGTGGTCCTGGAGGGCCCCTTGGTGCCCACGGGCACCGTGTTGGTGACCCCTGTATTAGAGCATCTTAATAACGTCTGTGATTTCCCTCCATCTCTTCCTTTTTCCCTCATATTTAATTGCTTTTTCAACCAACGATGCCGACATCATCGGCTTCACAGCTGATTTATTTAACGTTTTAATTGGTGAGCGGGGAGCGTGAACATGCGGTTTACAACATTCTTCATTTTGCAGCAGATTACTTTTTAGGTGGAGGAATAAATTTGTACTGCTACCTTTTGCAGTGATTTGGTTTTTTCAGCACGTCTTACAAATTAGCGCCTTTTGTTGGATGTATAAAGAGTATAATTAAAATGCAGGTAGAGAGCATCTGACCTCAAAACGGCAGCCCTGGACAAAGGGGAAGGGCCCCTCACGCTCCTCTGGGCCCCAGTGGCCTCCAAGGTTGGAGTTTCGGACAACGGTTTGCTCCGTAAAGCGGGGGTTGAAGTGAAAGACGATATCTGAACCTTTAATTAGCTCAACCTGGAACCTGAGGAAAAATTACATTACATAAGATTAAATCAACAACAAATAAAAAAAGAAATAAAAAGCTAAAGACTCCCCCAAACACACACACTTTTTAAACCATAAAAATATTTCTTTCAACAATATATTCTAAAAAAAATATCTCCTCGAACTTTTTCAGGTTACAGCCACAGGTTTTAATTTCTTTTTTTATTATTATTGCAAACAGAGAACAAACAAGAACAACATAGAACCTTAATAATTACACTCAGATACAACATCAAAGGGCTTTATAGAATATAGAGCAATTATTTTACATCAAAATCCAACCTGTACTCGAGGGTTGCAACTTTTTAAGGGCATTTATCATTTGAATAGTTTTAGCATTTCAGCTACATTTGAAGGATTTTATGTAGATATTAATAGAGGAAAATAAAATCTAGAAATTTGGTTTTTGTTGTAAATATTTGGAGCTGTGAATAGGTTATTTACCGTAAATCACAAAATAAAGTGATATTGAGATTTCTTTGATGAAAAAAACCTTGACATATCTCTCCAGAAAATTTTGGCTTAGTTACAATCCCAAAAAAGAAAGAATAAGCTTTTCTTCATTAGGTCCAAATCCCATTTATATCTTTTTATCAAAAATACTTAAACATGATAAAACTTATGAATAACTTTAAAGAAACTTCTCTTACATTTTTGTTTATCAAATATTCTTTAAGGAACCAAGTCTACTTCCAATTAATTATTTTCCAAAATATATTTTCAAATATGCTGGACTAGTAAAATATACAAGCTGGTGAAAAAACAACGACTCGTAATGTTTTAATACGACTGCCCCAAATAAAAGAGGGAGATTGTGAAGTGGAAACAGAAGTTACTTATTAGGAGCCACATTTCAGAGCAAAAGCTGCCTTAAGTGTTTTAGGGTGCGTCTTTACCAGATTTTTAAACTCGGAACATTATTTCAAATCTTTCTACTTCGCAAAACAGCTAAATCAAATCTGCAATCTGTTGCACTGGATAAACGATCTAATAATAAGTAAAAATTTCACAAATTAAGTGTATTAACACGTAATTTGAAAAGGTAAATCAGATGATTTGCAATGGAATGAGTATTTTTACTCTTAAAATAAGATAATCAGATAACATGCACTTGAAATAAGACGAAGCAATTGTCTTTTCTTATTTTAAGTGTAAATTTTCTTGTTCCATTTGCAAAACGTCTCTTTTACCTCCTCAATCAAGAACAAATGCACTTATTTTAAGAAAAAATGACTGATCTAGATTTGGATTTTTTTCCAGTGTGGTCAAAGCAATATTTATGATCTAAATCACAAAATGTCGAAGTAAAGTTTAAATTAGCAAACTCTTGCCGGTAGGAGCTGTTGCTAGTTCACCAAGTTTCCCCCCATTAGGTGCTTTCTCAAGTAGTTACTGGTTTTCCCAGGTGTGCTGTGGGGAAATTCTGGCCATGGTGACGCCATGCGGAGTGCGTGAGGCTAAAATGACATAATTTAAATGCGCAAAAACAATAAGCATAAATTTAACTTAAAGGTTTACAATTAACATTGCTTTTTTCCCCCAGCTTCAACCATTTTAGCATAAATTTATAACAGATTTCTAAGTTCTACAGAACCAAAGGACCCCCACAGCATGCTACAGCCACTGTCATGTTTACCAGCGGCCATCTGTTTGGGTTGATGTGCAGGTTTAGATTTCTATCGTACACCAGGTCAACGCGTTTAATCAATTAAAATGACTAAAAGTTTTGGTTTATAAAGATTTTATTTTTGGAAAATCAGGATTTATTTCAATAATCCACTCCTTAGGCTTCCATAGCTCAGAGTGACATCCATTCATCTTTTTTTTATTATGTGTAATCACAACTGATAAACTTGCTAACTGTGTGATACTAGCTGAAAACATTTAGTTTGTTGAATTTCCATTCTTTGCTCTGAAACATAATCACTTTACATGCATGTTTCACTGCATGAATTTCATTGCATTTTAAATTAGGGTCACCTCCTGAAGGGGATAACACAACACAAAGCTAGATTTTAAATTGGTCATTTTTACGAGGAATCTTAAGTGAGAAAAAAATAAATGGCTGTTCTGTACATCACCCAAAAAGTTCAATCTTGGTCTCATGAAACAAGAACTTTTTTTTTTATGTTTGCTCCATCTCTTGGCTTCTTAAAGGGCAGATTATACTTCTCCAGCCGCACACATCAAATTTTGCTTGGTTCTGGTCGCGAATCAGTTTTGCTGGTATGATTCTGCACCGTCGGTCTGGAATTTCTAGGGACGCTCAGCACTTTCCCGCCAAAGCGCAGGGGGGAGGCTATTGGAGAACTCACGAGAACTTTGGCAGGTGGTCACGAAACCTTTGGCGACGCCGGCGGGAATGTTTATCTTCCAAAACAACAATGGCGCATCTGCAAGATGTCACGGAGATTGATCTAGAGTTGCTAGACATCGAAGAGGAACAGGTTCTGTTAACGGAGTTGGCAAAAAGACTGATTAACCTTTCGTCATAGTTTTCCATTGTAATTGTTCCTTGATTTTTAAAAATGGCGCGCCCGGCACCGAATCAAGAAGGATGACCACACAGACAGCCGGAAAGGCGTACCAAGAACCAATCACAGCTGCTTTTTGTCTGTGCAGTTCCACTTCAGGTCTGCGCGGGTTTGCGACCGTCGGACGCGTTGTCAGGATTTTTGTTAGGTGCGCGAGGACGGTTGCAGAACCACTGCGCGGGGGGCGTGGTCGCCACAGAGAGATTTGACGGATGCAGAGGCTATGCGTCAGAAGCATACCGTAAATTGGCCTTAAGGCAACTAGTGACCGGGATCTTATCTAGCAATGTAGGAGAAAACAGGAAGGAACAGAAATTGATTGAAACTTCTATCGAACTTTATTTGCAAGCCTTAAGATCCGTCTATTCCCTTCCACTTCATAGTTTGCAATACTTTGTGCCACAATGTCAAGAACAAATGTCAAGAACTAACAATTAAGTTTGCTGCTGTAGACTGAACTTGTAAGGAAGTTAAAGAGGTCAGAACACTATCAGATGCATGATTCAACTGTTAACTCATAAATGAGTGGCAGCACTGATAGACTCCTGTAACAGGCTTCAACTTTATGCTACTTTGATGGATTGGAGGTTGAGCTGTTCAAGTGTTTGCTTCCTTCCTGAAGTGACTTTGAACAGACTCTAAGGATTGCTTTAGGAAATGTGTACCTTTGTGCACCAGGGACGGGTTCTCCAATTACTGTGATTAAAAGTCGCGGCATAATCCCAGCATGGAGGGGGAGATCATAAGGCACCATCTGAAAGAAATGTTTACAGTGTAAATAATGACAGTATTTGTTCTCCTCCACTAAGGAAGAAATATTCAAACATTCTTTCAATGCTTTTTTTTTTTTAATTATTGTTTCTTTTAAGGATGCAAAAGGAGAAATGGCGTTTACCCAGCTGATAATATCCTGATGATGAGCTCCAGGTTTCTATTTTGCTGAATTCAACGAACCAAGCAATAAGCTAAAATTCACAAAACAATTAAAATTGACGCTCCTCACATTCCCACTGCAATACCTCATTCTCTCCATTTGTTTCAGCACTAAGGAGTAGGTCACACTGACCGGTAAGATGTGGGGCATTTTTCACAGTAAATATCCAACATCTGCACAAACCAAAACCTGAGCCACATGGAACCAATCAATCAAAGTTTTTATTAAAATCATACATGAAAGGGACGAGCCAGAGCTGAATCTGACAAGTGCTGATAGATTACACCAATAGATTAAAGTTGCACTGATTAGGTAAACATCATCTGTAAATAATAGTAAATTAGATCATATTGCACTTAAAGAATTAAATCCTGGAGATTTAACACTGCATCTGAACACCAGTCGTTTATATGCATTTTGGCACCGATCAAACCACGAGATGAGGCTGGATGGGATGTCCGTGTCCGACTGAAAAGTTGAGTTCATTGCTTTCATTAATATGGTGGATTATATCTGGGCTGAAAGACAGAAATACATTCCTGTTGACTTCCACTAAACAAACAGTACTATGACTTTATATTTGCATTGCACCCAAGCAGAGACCAAGATGGGAAACATGTAATCAAATGCACCTCTTAGGCAGATCCCACCAGCAGATGCAGAGAAATAACTTTCAAATGAACGAGCCTTTAGGAGCCGACCCCCAGATGGTTTTCCCTCAAACACCAGATAGGATTTACAAAAGAAAGGAAAAAAAATCCAGCAAGTAAGCAAGATATAACGTCGAGGAAGAGCTTGTACTCACCAGTGTGCCTCCTGGACCGGCAGGACCCCCATACGGACCCATGGGGCCAGGACCATAGGGAGCAGGAGCGGGGGGGAAACCTCCCCCTGGTGATCCCCATGACCCAGGTGGGATTGGGGGGAAACCACCACCAGGGAATGAAGGGAAAGATCCTGGACCGGCTGGAGGGGGGAATCCACCTTGACCTCCTGGTCCGTACTGCCCATTGCCTCCAGGGAATGGCACATTTGGATAAGGGCCAGCGGGAGCACCAGGACCAGAGGGGAACGGTCCTGCTGGGTAAGGAGCCGGGCCTCCCGGTAGCTGTCCAGGAGTTCCTTCAGATGGATACTGCCCAGGGAACTGTCCAGGCGCCCCTGGACCCGAGGGAAACTGACCCGGAGCTCCAGGAGCAGGAGGATATTGTCCAGGTACTCCGGGGCCAGCAGGGAAGCCACCAGGTGCTGAGGGAGGCCCCGGGTATTGCCCCGGGTATTGCCCCGGTGCTCCGGGACCTGAGGGGTACTGGAACGGCCCCGGAGCTCCTGGGCCAGAAAAGCCACCGCTGAAGTCAGCTGGTGCTGAGGGCTGAGAGGGGGCCCCAGGGGCGGATCCGGGCCATCCTGGGTTTGAAGCAGGGGGATAGTTGCTGGCAGGAACAGCTGGATTAGTGCTTGTTTTCTTAGCCTGGCTCGGTGTGTCGTCTCCTAAAGCATCAGACAGCTACAGACAGAGAGAGAAAGAAAGTACAAATGACAGTCTCCACCCACAACAAAAACAAGTTATTTCCACAGCAAACTAAAAAAGGAATCCAGCTATTTCAACATGGATTAAATACAAATAATCAATAAACTCACCGAGAAATCTGACATGATCTAAAAAAAAAAATAGAAAAAGAGACTTAATTTAGTATGAAGTACTTCGAACACATTTTATCAAGCTGTAAATATATGTGGGCAGGTCCAAAAAGCTCTGAGTAAATGTTTCCACCCTGAAATGGTGAATCATAAAGTCCACAGCGACGGACAGAAAATAACTCAACATCAGTAAAACATTAAAAACAACAATATTATAACAAGGAAGAGCCTCTAAATCACTGTGGAGGCGGTGGGGATGTTTTAGCAATGTGAAAAACTACTGATATTCTCGGCTAACCGTTTAGCTAACCCCTGCTAAGTTTAGGTTTGTTTGGTCTACATTTATGGTAAGAAAGAAAAATAGAGAACTGATGTTATACGATACCTGTTTAAAAGCAAGACACTTGTTGAATGACAGCTGGTGACGTTTTTAGAAGCTCCGAAACCCTGTTAGCCAACTCCTTTAGCCTGGCGCTGCTAAGCAGTGGAAGCTAACGGTAGGTGTGTTTGGAAAAACTACACTTCCTGCAAAGGAGCTCGCGGAGCCACTTCCGGTGGAAACACCTCCAAATCCGCCCCCAGAAACATCTTTCAAAAATTGTCCTTTTTTTATTTTATTAATATTTGCAATAATCATAATCTTTTTTTTTTCTAAACAAATCCAGATATGTAAATATTAGATGGACGAAAATGTTTTACCATCCTAAGCAAAAACCTCAAAACGACTCTTTAGTTACAATTTACAGTAAAAGGAATAGACTGACAGACAGATTTAAAACTTTATTTAACCTTATAACACAATTCCTTAAATAAATAAAAAATATTTGCATCAAAATCTATAAAAACAGGGAAATCGTTTTTTTTTTTTTTTATTTAGTCAAAAACATCTACATAAAAAAATGCTCTCAGAGAGGATAGCAAAGGTGTACATGAATAGATAAAGAGCAATTAATAAAAGAAAAACAAAAAAGTAAGACAACTACCAGGGAATTTATCTTAGCAAACATTTAAATAAAACATAGACAGAGCCATAGAAATAATAAAAACAAAAAGGTGAATGCGCTTAGAATAGCAGATGTTTGGAGAAATCAATTCTCAATATTTTGGCATATTTGTCATTTTTAAAAATCTTTTTAAGAGAAGAAAAATAGGTTTTAAAGTCATTAATAAACCAGTGAAAGGAAGGTTTAGAATTTCTCCATTTAGCACAGTGGATATGAAGGGAAATCGTTTTTTGTAAGCATATAATTTTCACTGATCAGGGGCGGGGCTAGATGCCCTTAGCCAATCATTGGCCACCCCTACCATTTTCTACCCTATAATATCCATAGATATCCATAATAAATCCTTTATTATGGATATCTATGATAATATCCACCTTATTTTGAAACGCGGAAGTAACTCTGGGTCCAACTTCCGTTTGTGTGTGCCGCACTTCCGTTTCAGCGCTTTCCTATGCAAACTATCGCTAGCTTAACAGATTTAATAATCAATGTCGTGGCAACATTTTCCTAATTTGTTAAGCGATCAGAGTGGCAGGTCAGTGCCACACCCTCGAACTATTCTTGTGGTTAATTATACACATCAATATACTAATATTAAAGATGATAATTACAGAATTCATGCTCTTCTCAGAACTAGAATTTGTGTTATAGGGGTAAAGAGATAACGATCAGTCTCTGTGAGTCATCTAAGAGTCTTTAGTGAAATCATAGATGAATAACTATTTTAATAAAAACGTATTAAATGATTAATTTATTTAGATATTTGTACTTGTAAATATTAATTTTATGCAGAATGATTGTGGATAAAAGTAGGTAAGGACAATAGAAAAGTTGTTCGCCCCAGAACTCAAACCTGAAAGAATTGTTTCCACTATACCTTTAATCTAGAAAGCACAGATGTTTAAATACATGCATCTATTTCTTAGCAAAGGCTGTAGGAAAGTAGAGTAATTCTCATATTAGGCTTGACCCTGAGGTTCTGGGGCCTACCCACCTTCAGCCACCCCTCAGTGTACATTGGTTATTGCCTGGCCACCCCTATAAAAACTTTCTGGCTACGCCTCTGCCACTGGTGTCTTAACACTGTTCTTAAAATATAGTTCAAAATTTATTTTAAAACAGATAAAATTAACCAAACCCAAACTGTTCTGACCAAAAAAACTCCTATAACACATCAGCGAATAATGCAGGAGGTCACAAAGAAACCCAGAATAACATTTAAAGTTTGAACTCAGTTTAGGTCAGTGTGGATATATAATTGAGTATTAAAAAAAAGAAATAGCAAAACAATGGAAACCTTTGGAGATTTTCAAGTCTGGGATCACTGATCATGAAGTATAAAAAGGTCCATCTACCTGATATAGAATAAGAAATAGAAAAGACATTTAGAGGAAACGTCCTTGAAACATAATGGGAAAGCACTCTGTGGACTTCAAAGAACAATGACAATCTTTTTGCCAGGTGTGTGTCCTGTTGAATTTGATATAAATTTAACACAACGTTAACAGAACAACAAAAACTCTTCCTGCCTGCAGTCAAACAGGGTTGTGGTGATAATTTTGTCTGATGCTGCATCAAACCTTCAAATCCTGGACGACTGAGGAGAAAGTCCAGCCATCATTCTTCAAAGGTTTTCTGAGTTGCTTGGTCAAAATCTGGATACCAAATTAGATGTAAAATAGAAATAGAATAACAGATTGACAACTATTAAAAGTACTTGTTATAAGTTAAAGGGGAGAGTTTATTGTTTTTCACATTGGGTAACATTACTTTCATAGTCTTACTTCCATCATTAATTAAATTCTTATTTAAAACTACAGTCTATATTTATCCAAGCTACCTTTGTCTAATATCCCAATGCAACAATAGAAACGTTTGTCATCAGTCGTCTTAAAACATTTTTGCCTTTTAAAAAATAGGTCTAGTATTATAATAAAAAGCTAAATGGCTCTTTAATGATGTCCCTAAGTGTTTTTGTGACATTTATTACTTATTTTATTCATATATTTAAGTTGTACATAGAAAAGATATGCAACCAAAAAGGCCATTAAAGATTTTGAGGAACAGCAGAGGCATCACCATGAGTGGATTCCACTTCCTGCTCAGAGTCAGATTACTTCACACTATGGATTATCACTACATTTAATCTGGTGTAGTTTGTAGTACGCCAGTTGAATAACACCAATGAATACATTTACAGTGAATATGCTGATGATTCGAAAAGACATTTGTCCATATGATTTGCCAGTCAAGATCCAAAGACATATTAATATCCATTTTTTTCAGAGTCTGTTAAAGGTTTATATGAAGCTTTACTTCATATAAATACGCTTCACTTAAATTTATATAGGTTGGAGTCAGTACTATTGTTTTTAACTTTTGCATCAAAGATAACATGAAGGGAATGATTATCTAATTCCATTCATTCATGGGTATGAGATATGGCATATAACTACGGAGGACCTAGAGAGTCACTGAAACAGAACATTTTAAATTAAAAATGTGCTCTTTTTTTAATTGCCCATTTTAAATCCAATTATTTAAGTGGAATTGTAAATTGTATTTATTAATCTGTTGCTATTTCTAAATGAAGAATTAAACACCAAATTCATAAATCTGATTATGCATACCTGCATGTCAATATCGTTTTTTTTTTTGTTTTTGTTTTTTTTCGAAATTTCAGTTATTGATGTTTAATGTCAGAAGCATTTTACATATATTGTATTAAAGTTTAAAAAAAATATATTTTTTCTTTAAAAAAGGTATAATTGATATTATATTTAACAAATAAAATCCGACACTTTTTCTAGATTTAACCGAGTTACTAGTCTGCATTTACCAAAACACTCAGAATGTAATGACAGAGAACTAAATCAATTAAAATGTTCATGATAGTGATACATTAAAATAAATAAGTAAATAAATAAATAGGAGACATGGTAAACAGATAAACATTTGTGTCTTAATGAAGGTTACAGGGTTATGTTACCAAGACGCTTTTGGCATTTTTAAAGGTGTAAAATAAGTTTATGTTAATATTCTATAACAAATGGGAATAAAAAACTATCAGCAAGAGCTTAAATACGTTACAAAAAGGCCCTTAAAATGTGTTAAAATATAAACAGATAAAGTGTTGCATTGTTCATTGTGTTTTCATTGTCTTGCAGAGATTTTGCTGGGATCTGGTTTAAAGTAGGGGGAGCCTGTGAGGGATTGGTCAACCAGTCACAGGATGATAGGAAAAAAAAAATCCACTTAGATCGTTTCTGCCATTCAGAGCAGCAGCTGCGGCTTCAGGGAGATTTTTAACTCTACAATTATGGTAAGTTTGACTGTTTCCGGTCCAAAGAGCTGCTTTTGTTTACGCCTCACAGGCTTAGACCCTCAGCGGGAACAGACAAGAAGTTTTTGGGAGTTTTCATGCGAAGTGATATGATTGTGAAGCGTTAGCCTGCTAGCCTAGCATTATTTCCACCTACTGTAGAGTGGATGACGTGTTCGCCGCAAGCACGAGCCACTTCCGGTGGGGTTTAAAAAATAAAAGAAAAGACCTATACCAAATACGAGGCTAAAATTGTGTTTTCGTCATGTGTATTGTTTTTATCTTAAATTAAGAAACATATTCGTTTGTTTGTTTGATTTTAAATCGAATTAATTACACATACCATAAAATAATTGACAATTAACTGTTCTATTTGGTTCAGGGTTCCCAGAAATTTCTCAGTTTTCTGAAAAAGTCTGAAATTTGACTCATATAGGATAAATGAGAAATAACACAAAAAACTAACAGAAAACGAAGAAGCCCGACGAAAAACAAAAAAAAATGAACCCAAATGAAAATGGACCCCAAGAAAAAAGAAAAAAAAAGCAAGAAGCCTCACTGACAAAAATGAAAGCTGACAGCGAGCAAAAAAAACACAAGCATAAAAAAAGACCCAGGGCCCCTGCTGAATAAATATAATTAACACACGAACAGAAAGCAATTAAAAAAAAACAACTAATGAAAAAAAAAAACCAACAAACATCACGACGGCCTGACCAAAACATGCCGGCACACACCAAACAAAACACAGCGAAAAAAGTCAAAATGAGGACCCCACACCCATGACATAATGAAACAAAACGAAAAAACAATCAACAATTCTGAAATTACAAGCAGAACTAAAACAGTAAACTAACAATACGAACCTAACCCAAACCGACAAAATATGAGTCAAATTTCAGACGTTAACAGAAAACTGAGAAATGTCTGGGAACCCTGAACCAAATAGAACAGTTAATTGTCAATTATTTTATGGTATGTGTAATTAATTCGATTTAAAATCAAACAAACAAACGAATAAGTTTCCACAGAATTTTGAGATTAAAGTTGGAATTCTGAGATTAAAGTCGGAATTCAGAGATTAAAGTAGGAATCCTGAGTTTAAAGTCTGAATTCTGACTTATTTTCCTTATTAAACCGAAATAATATTAAAAACGTTTTTATTTTTTCCATGGCCCTCATCCCCTTCCGTATAAAGTAGTGGAATGTGGCACACAT